CGTCCCGGTTATGTGACCCTGACCTCTGCTCCCGGTGGACCTAGTCCGGTAAGCAACCTGTCTTGCGGCACCACAAACCCGCAAATCTGTACCACACCGGATCTCCTGGTGATTGGCGCAACGGGTAATGTAGGTAGCGCACCGGCAAATACACCGTTTAACACGGCCGCTAAGTATCATAAATACCAGTTCATCATCACAAAGGAAGAGCTGAAGAATGGTGGATTGTACAGCGGTACTTTAAGCAGCATTGCCTTTAAGCACAATAACCCAACGGTACTTGGCGCCCGGCGCACTGGCCAACCTGCGTGTATCTTTAAAATGTACCCGCAACAGCCGTTACCCAAGTACGGTAACCAATGGTGATTTTGAAACAGGTACCATCCTGGTAGCAAGCATCCCCTCTTATACATTGACGGCTAATGACTGGAATGTGATTCCGTTCACCACCCCTTATAACTGGGATACAAGCCAGAACCTGTTGGTAGATATCTGTATCGGAGATGCGGCCTTTACACCAGGTAGCAGTACGTCTTTCGATCCGGTTGATATGGTTCCTGGTCGTTCTATTCACCGTTGGAGCAATACTGCTGACGTATGTGCAGGTAATGCAAATGATGTTCAGTCACATACCCAACGCCCTACTGTACGCTTTGCCTATTGCCAGGCGCCTAACCTGCCGTTTAATTTCCAGTGGGCTCCAGGTACTTACCTCGCCGACTCTAATGTGCAGAACCCGATAGCCTATGTGCCACGCAGCGGTAAATACGCCGTTTACTCATGGGGCCGTAATGGTTGTACCGTGCGCGATTCATTAAAGATCACCGTACCGATCCACCACCTGACCTTGTCTGCTGATACCGCTGTCTGCGTATTCCAGCCGGCACCATTGCATGCAACCGGTGCGAGTGTAGGTTATATCTGGTACGAGAATGGCTTCAACACACCAACTACGCTGAGCTGTAATAATTGTGCAGATCCTATAGCTACACCAGTAGTTACCGGTGATACCAAGTACACCGTAGTTTACCTTGATACAGCCGGTTGTTTTGATACGCTTTCAGTAACGGTACATGCTTATCCACTGCCAGCGGTTTCGATTGGCAACAACGATACGACGATCCATTATGGCCAGTCGGTACGCCTGCGGGTAACCGGTGCCAACTCCTATGTATGGACGCCGGTAGGCAGCCTGTCCGATCCGAACATCCCGAATCCGATTGCAACACCAACCGTTACCACCGACTATATTGTATTTGGCCTGAACCAATACAATTGCAGTAGCTCAGATACGGTACGGGTAACGATAGATAATCGTGATAACCTGTTGATCCCATCCGGCTTTACCCCGAACAATGATGGCAAAAATGACTACTTCCGTATTGTGAATGTGACGTTCCAGAAGTTGATGGAGTTCCGGGTATTTAACCGTTGGGGCCAGGAAGTATTCAGCACCACCGATCCGCAGAAAGGATGGGATGGTACCTGGAAAGGCGTTGCTCAGGATGTAGGAAGCTACAGTTACATTATCCGCGTTGCCTACCCTGATGGATTTACAGAAACGTACAAGGGTGATGTAACCCTGATCAGATAAGTACTTATATCGTTCAAATAAAGAATCCCGGCCTTCATACAAGAAGCCGGGATTTTGTTATTAAGGTATGTCTATAGCGGCCGTAAGCTGCTACCAGCTTGAAATCTAAAAGTATTGAAACCATGAGAAAAGAAGCAAAACCAGGTACACATTGCTAATAGATTAAATTCTAATTTGCAGCCTCAAAATATCGATATCAAAAAATCGAACCAAATTATT